TACGATCAAGAAATTTCCAAATGGCTAAGGGAACATCCAGGAAGAGTCGTTACTCAGTATCAAATTGGTTCACTTTTTGCCGTAGCCTATGGGAAAGCAGTCAGGATAAAAACAGCAACAAGTGGTTTTGGGAAATGTGGATTTTCCCTGTAAATTTTGACATATTCGAAGAACATGAATATGCTCCGAGCTAAACAACGAATTATTCCGTCACCAATGATGCTTAGATGGAAAATAATGCTCCCACAGAAAACCAAGCAATAACAGAAGATTTTATTCCTTCTACTCCAGAGAAACCAATTTTCACCATTAATAAACCCATCACCCGTAGCCCTTAGCCTGGAACGTCAACTTACTATATACCTGAACGTCTTAACTCTAATATTATAGTTCAAGAAGTCTCCTCGACTAAAAGAGTAAATCTTACACATCTACTAGACAGGCTATAGCAGAAATATTCCCAATTCCTGTTGGAACTTGCGAAAAAGAAATCAAAAGAAAACAGAAACTCAAAGAGCAGCTAATATGACAAGCACTCGGTTTCTTGAGGAAACTCGAAAGAAAGCTGAAGAAAAGTTGGCAAAGGATAGCCAGAACTGTGAAGCAAAGAGTAAAATTCGATACTGAAGATGCATATGAAGAGTCTGACCCATTTCATGACTACAGTGATGATGACGATGCTTCTTGCATCTACTGTACAGAACTCTATTCTAAGTCAAGAAGTAAAGAAGTATGGATTAAATGCTTAATCTGCAAATTGTGGGCACATTGTGATTGTGCAGGCGTTAGCACAAAAACAAAACAATTTATTTGCGATGTCTGTACCTAATATAGATAAGTATTTGAAACTTTGTTTTATATTTCTAGACTTTTTTTAAAATAAATAAGCAGTAAAAACAGTTAAATTTGAACTATTTCATTATACCCGTATATGTGCCTAAAATGACACAGTATGCATTTTTTTTTACCAAAATATATAATATGAAATTAACTTTTGAAAATGCTTATTTTCGTTATGCCATAACATTGCATATTGTCTGAGGTACCTGTTTCACTATTTGGAAACTGATTTATCTCTTTTCTTTTTCATAGAGGTGCTAAAAAGAAAATGGTATGTCATTTTAGGCCAATCTCCCCTACATGACTTTAAATTAACACATAAAGTAATCAATGACTGTCACTTGAAAGTGATTTAAATTTTGCATGCAAGCTTTTCTTGTGCCGTGATAATTTGTGTTGTTACAAAATCACCATGGTCAAAATAACGATAAGTGAGAACGAAAATGACTGCTTTCATAAATTACGAATGACCTATGAATCTTTGCAAGTAATGTTTGATTTTTATTGTTTTATGTTCTGCAGTTGTTGCAGATATTTAAATAAATCTACTAAAAAAGTGAAGATCATATTTTTACGTATGATCTCACTGATGCAATCGTACATCGTACAGAGAGTTAAAAAATCGTATAAATACGATTTAAATCGCATGGTTGGCAACACTGAGACAGACAGTAGACGTGGACAGCTGTGGACAGTTTGCAAATGTAAACGTCAGTCAGTTTTATGTATACCGAAGAATCCTGAATTTAAATTTTGAGTTCATGATTGTGTTATCCTGTACATGAACTAATTAAAATGGTTGTGGCTATTTTTGGGTGAAATTTAAGGACAATAATTATATTTTGTAATATTACAACAAGTCAGATATTAGTAACACATGCCACATGAATAAATAAAAAACTTCAATGTGGCGTTCTTTAATTAACCAAAGTAAGATCTAGTCATGTAAGTATCACAAATAGGAACCAACTTTTATCATTCACAAAGTAGGTATTTATGTATTATTTATTGTTTTAGAACAAGAAAATGGCTTCAAGACGTTAAAAAGAAGATTTGTTATAAGAAGAAAAATATTTGAATTCCCGTTATTGAGTTTGCACTCAAAATTTTTAAATAAGACACCATTGGCCATTCGTTTGGAAAATAGAAACAGAAATGTAATGTTACAAATAACGATCAAAAATCAAATAATTGTCAAGAATAGATTTACAATAATTAATCGACAATAGACTGTAAGTGTAGTATTCTTTTTAATAAATAATTTAGCGTAATTACATTGTTTAAATTCATTTACAAGAACATGAGAATGCAGTCGATGTTTATAAAACCTTTATTATCAGGTTTTAAATTTCCCGCTACGTTTTTTGACATCGATGAAAGCGCCACTAGTGGGTCAGATGTTAACTGCGTTAAAGCTGATCGTTGTTAATCATTAGACATTCCAAACAAATGAATTACCAGTGGGTAGGTTTGGTATATCTAAGGGTGGCGACATATGGTGTATTCTATCTACTTTACGTTAAATCGTGAATAATGGATTACATTTAAATATTTTATGTCAAACACAATAAAAATTATATTTAAAAAAAACCACCTATACATTTCTTCATAGATTGGCAGGCTTGGCGAGTACTACTCTTAGAGTGAGTAAGTAAGTAGTAAAGAGAGGACAGTAAACAATGTTTGTGTCGCCATGATAATATGGTCGAGAATTCTAATTAGAGAGAAATAGATTAATATCTCTATCTCTTTGTTTGTATTTGTCAGTTTTACAAAGCTTTTCTCAGACAATTATTCCAGTGTTTAATTTAAATTTGTTCGTGTTGTGGCGTTAAAAGTAATTGTTATTAATATTATATTCATAACAAAAAAGTCATATTTTGTTTTCACTTCATTAAAAATGCACCTACCTACCTTTTAAAACATTTTATTTTATGTTCTACTTGGTCAACATTTTCGCATTTAAAATGACCCAGCGAAATTGTTTTACGGTACGCTACTGCTGAGAATTCTAAAACGAGTGAGAAAGCCTTCATTAGAAAGAGAGATACTGATTATATGATAGCGACATTAATATTGTATAAATTTATGCAGTGGTGGCCTATCTGCTATTATATTATCTAAGGTACTACTTCGAATAAAAATAGCGTCCAAGTTGCAAGACTATGTCGCTACCCCCTTAAATATATAAGAATTTCCCACTGGCACCTATTGTTTGACAGGTCGTTGGAATGCCTAATTGGATTCTTATGAGCGTTTCCTATCTTTATCTCCCTTATCTCTGGGTATGATGACTTTCGATTCAAAATTCATCCAAACCGCGCATTACGTAATGCGGGACGAACTTTCAAGTTATTTTGACATTTCGATTGAGTAGTGTAAAATAATTTAATAATTTATATGTTTTTGTGTTAGTAGTGACTATATTTTCTTATATATAACAGGAGAGAACTAAATTAATGTTTAAAATGCCGGGCTACGCAGTAGAGATATTTCCGAATGCCACAAAATATGGGTAAATTCTTATCGAAGAAAGGACAAACTTTATTGAAATTGCCTTATCCATTTTAAGGAAAGTAGTTGTGAGATTCCTCTTAAACATAGATGCAAGAAAAGGAAGTTGAATTCCACCAGGTGCAGGGCCTCATTAAGCAAAGAAAATAAATCGGTATTTAAAAATTTTAGCAGATAAAACAGTAGTTTCCTGTCCCAATACAACGGTCCTTTTGAAGTAATGCCATGCATGAGCAGGACACGAACATATATAAGAATAAGATAAATGAACAGGAAAATTGGTTTTGAGTATTTTCAAAGTAAACTTGACAAAAAATATTTAAAGTTACCAAATAAAAAGTAATGTTTTTGTAAATAAATAATTTGTTTCTGCACGCTTATTTTATATTTTTATTTCACATAATAAGAAAAGAGATTGCAAGAGAACTACTACGCCCAGAAAGTACAAATTTGAGTAAAACTTGTATTTTTACTTATGGCCAGGTTATGGATTTTGTCATAAAATACCTATAATTTATGAGAAATATTAATATTTTTATTAGTATTATTTACCTTAAACCTTCATATTTGTAAACGAATATATTACAAAATAACCAATAAAACTTAAGTAACTGCATAAAATCTGAAATTGGCAAAATATCTCCAATTTAATGCCTATAATTCTGTCCTACATGACTTCACCGTCAGTCAGCTGCATGCCCAGGTACAAACCGTTAGTCTGTGTATCGTGAGTTGAATGGAAAAATCGGAGCAACTCGGGTGGCGTCGTGCAAACAACAATTTTCAATTGGTGGGTTACTTTGGGTTAAAATAGACAACATGCGCAATGTGCAATGTTACATCTTCGGTCTCTTTAATCTAAGGTTTTTCTATAAAGCCGTTTTTAAGTTATCGTGAAAACAAACAGACAGACAAACTGACAGACGGAGGGACGGATGGACTGAAACATGTTTTTCGTAATCTAGGTAGGTAATAATTTGGTATGGGAGATGGTTTTCTCAATTTAAAGGGATTAATATTTGCCGAAAATAAAAAAAATAAATTGATATTTATTTGTAGAGCAAAAAATTAGCAAAAAGTTATGCGGCAAACCCGATTCTGATACATCTTATAGAAACAGAAACACAGCACTGGCCGTTGCAGCTTGAGTATCAAGCTAGCATGACCATTGTTTCTTACGAACCGCAAGAGCAAAAACATAAATTGAAATATATTTGTAGAGCAAAATATTAGCAAAAAAATATGTCACAAAGCCGATTCTGATATATCCATAGAAACAGAAATACAACACTGGCCATTATGTCTTTAGTATCAAGCTCTAGCATGGCCAACATGCCCAATGTTTCTCGGTAACGGCAGGAGCAAAAAAAATAAAAATTGGGTAAAAAATAGCAAAAAATTAGCCAAAAAATATAGTATAAGTTGCTCTGCGGGCTTATGACTTTGCCATGCTAGCTTTATAGACATATTCAGAAGAACCTTTGTAAGTAAAGAAGTCGATGGAAAATATAATAAATAATAATAGTTAATGAATCAGAAACCAGCGGATAAAATAGCTAGATCAAAAGTCTACTTTAAAAAATGCACATCTTTGGCTGTAACTATTTTATGTATAAAAAAAGATGAAACTCAATTTAAAAACTTACTGGTGAATAAAACTTAAAAATGATTAATAGTCATCACAATAGAGTTGTCAAAGCACTAAAAGCGTCGTGATAAAACGGGTCAAAAAATAAAATCTCTTACATGCTATAAAATCGATTAAGACTGCTAATTTAATTAAAGCTTTAGAAATAATATGAAATTGTAAAACGGTGTCAACATCTATAATTATCTTCAGATTTAGATCGTTTTTATGCGGTTTCAGTATTTGTCAAGGACAAAAATTTAGAATATAGTCTTACTTTCATTATTTAGCAGCTTTTTGATAGTCGTTTCTCGAATTTATTGATTCTAATACAGTATTATTGGAAACAAAATATTTACCATATCTAATGTGTGGCCTAATAAGAATGGCCTCTGGGAAAAAATAGCCAAAAGAAAAACCTGAAAATTATTGAGAGAATCAGAGGACGACCGCTAGATATCGTAACTTAATACCAAATAGTAAAAAGCATATTTTATACCAAATTTACCAAGTTAAGTTCTTCTTAAAATATGATAGTTGAAATTTCTAGAACATTACGAAGTTCAATTTCCTTCTAACTTGTCATATAAGAGGTGGGGAGAGCTTGTTAGTCCGATCCTGCTTAGCATAATTTTACAAACTTGGTATTATTGAAAATACCTCTTTTCTGCTAATACAATTTTTATACATTCTAATAAGTTACGTGCATGGTAGAGGGTACTAGTTTTCTCTCAAAAATATTAAATGGAAGTACGCAATTTTTACTACGAATTATAAGAGTAGACATAAATTGGATGATGATATAGAAAAGGGAACCAACCACCAAACAGCTAAAAGTGCGATGTCTACGTCAGCACATTACTAAAGGGAACCAATCGCCAAACCAATTTTTATTAGGCTTGAATAATACTAGCGACATCTATGAACTGAAGTTTGTATTTCGAAAACGGTTATTCGGTTACGTTTGTTTTCGAGTAAAATACCATAGACCATAAACCACATACTTTGATTTTCTCATACTGACACTGACAGCAGCAAGGAAAATATCAGGTGCGTTTTAATCATCCGCTTCTGCTTCCTGAATTGTCGGTTCAGTCGTTCTAACCTGTCAGATTAAAACAAGAAAACCGACAATTCCGAAGCAGAAGCGGATGATTAAAACGCACCTATTAAAAATATTGCGCCAAGATGTAGGCAACACGTAATAAGGGTTCAAAATGGCGGAGTTTTCTATCTCCTTTTAAAAGGCACTCAGAAAGCTGCGCAGTGCGACCATTCTCCGTATAGTAAAATAAAATCAAACAAAGTGTGGGTTGAATACTATGGAGATGACACTCAGATAAATAAATAATAATAGATAACTGAATGTCAAAAATTTACATTGCGTTTGTTTGAAAGCAACATATACAAGCCAGTTGTTAGGAGGGGAAGAGCGGGGTTTGTTAGTTTTATTATCCAGTAGCGTATCAAATAAATGTCAATAGAAATGCTTTCGATTTATATTATTTTATTAGTTTTGAGATATTTCAATGGATCAATGTTTCTAATATGAGATGTTTATAGAAAACCGTCAAAAATGAATTTTTCAGTCGACCAGTACATATATTTTTTAAATTAAAAACATACATTATTTTTATACACAAATAATTTGAATAAACGTTGCAATGATAGGTTTTATAAATTCTAAATTTTTGCACTAATATTTTTTAATAATATCGATTCTTTTGTAAATTATTTTTATTGATTTGTTATTAGTACCGCTTATATATGTAATAAAAAATAGAATAAAGTATCTTTTTATTGTTAGTCCCTTTTAAGTTAATTAAATTTTGTGCACAAAATACTTATGGTTTTTAATAATTGGGAAAGTAGGGTTAAACTTGGGTTAGATCTGGAAAACAAAACAAAGACAAATGTTATAATAACAGTTTAGAATAAAGCGATACTTATGTAATAAATGATAAGTTCATAATTACACCGTTTAAAAATATTGCCAAGGTTTTCTAATACACAATATTTTGAATAATAAAACTTAATTTCGATGAATTCTTGTCAGTTAGAAATAGAACAACGTTAAGCAATTTTTTAGAGACGTGTTATTGTACTCAGTTGGTTTAATAACAATTAATAATGGATAATGGGGTGATTATAATAATTTAGTTGCCAACAATTTTCCTTTCACATACCTAATTTATAAATCAAATAATTATGTGACAGGTACCTAGATAACTAAAACTAATATTCATTAACTACAGATAAATAAAACCCAACAATTTTCCTACCACACAATTTACAAATTAAATTAATTATGAGACGTGATAATAAGTAAATATAATATACATTCACTTGAGTTGTTGTTGGGATGGAGTGTTAATACACTGCGACCTAAAAGATCTATTGTGCCCCTTCTGTCGCTAATGCACCAAGGAAATGTCTCAATGCCTATAACGACCCTTCCAATCCTATCTTCCCAAGGAAGTGTAGGATTTGGAGTGGCTTCGTGTTAGGTAAATCTCTCTCTCTTTTCTATTTGATATCCTCCTACTAGGTATAGTGCCCTTGGATTCTGAAGTACTACACATTCAGTTAGAATGTGAATGGAGGTTTCGTCCTCCTCCTCACAGAATCTGCACTCACTATGCTCTACTACTCTCAGTTTACTAAGGTGTCCTTTAAGTCGATAATGCCCGGTAAGGATCCCTGTTACAATAAGAAGCCTGTTCTTGCTCAGACAGATGCAGGCTGTGATATATGCCTTATTTATACACTACTCAATAAAACAACACCTTGTTGTAAGCTTTTATTCTCTAGTATTCTGATAAACACAGTAATTCAGTAATGGTTATAATACAAGACAAAACTCAAGATGAAATACGAACTTGTAATACAAGACAATGCGCATCTGACTCTTATTTAGTACTCGTGGCGGCATCTACGTACGATCTATAATCCTACGGGGTCACAGACTACAGACGACTGTGATATAAGGAGAAACTTATATGAAGCTGAAACATAGATGGCGTCACGGGTACTAACATTACCATTTATAAATGGGTAACAGATCTCACACAGGCTTCCGATGTTTCCTGCCATGGTTTCCTGGTTATATTCACCCAGAAGTATCTTAGCGTGTCTTAGCCTTACGAGATTGATCCAATTATCGGTTCTTATACTGCCCAATTATTTTTTAATCTCGTCGTGGACGTTTGAACGAGAAAAGTCAGTAAATGCATCGCCTTTCAAGGGGATGCTTTAGATGTTCTTCAGACTGTACCTGTGGAAAAAACGGATGACTTTGAAAGACGTCTCCAAGAATACGAATTAGATATTTCCAGAATGATGCGATACTGGCAATCATTTTCCTACTACACAATTTACAAATTAAATTAATTATGTGACGTGTAACTATATAATAAGTAAATATAATATACATTCACTTGAGATAAATGAAACCTATTTTAATTTAGACAATAAGAAAAATCATATCATAATAATTACATATATTATTGTGTTATTAAAATATGAATAGGTAATTAAAAAATTACAAAATTTATTGGTTCCCGTACTAATACTTAGAATATTCAAATTAATTAAACAAAGACAAAAAAACGTTTTTATTATTTATAGTTTTTGTTCAAATACTCACTTAGTTTCAGATGTAGAAGGTTTAGAATGTGACATAGTTTCCAGTTGAGGAACAGCTTCAGGATGTGAGTAAAATAAGGGCATTACTCCTTTCATTAAAAACATTTTTCCTCCTGGAGACTTAGCAAAGGCAGAATCCTCAAAATGTCTTGAACAAATTCTACTGAATACACTCTTCATCCTCACGTATACCCAAACTCTTCATCCACATATATCTAGTTTGAGGATCTTTTGGAAACCTAAATAGGTATAAATAGTGTTTTCTTATTCATATAGGTATATAGGATTTCATGTAATACAGAATGCAACATAGTATACTTTAAAATAACTATGGTGTTCTAACAATATATTTTGTCATTAAAATAAAGCAATACTAAGATTTTATAACTAAAGTAAATGCCACTAGAGCCTTCTTAAGTGTACAGTGTGCATAACAATATAACTTTAATTTAAAGATAGCCTATTAATAAATTCAAAGTTATTAAACACAGGCACAATAAAATAATTCGAAATTCGACGTTGAATGTTATTTTAAACTTTAAAATAAATTGTTGTTGTTTAAACCTTATTTTGAATTATGATACCCCTCAAAAAAGTGTGATGCAACGGTAATGGTTTTTATTTACTTACCTATGAAACGTTATCGAACTGAATTTGAGATACTTTCTCGAGCACACAATACAATTCACTGGCATTTTTAAGCAATTAAATGCACTAAAATAACTTAAACCACAAACATTTTTCAATTAAAGTACGAAATACACTCAAAATGAACCACAAAATAACCATAAAATAACTAACCTAACTAACGTAGTCCTGTCAATTTTTTGCTAACCAATCAGGTGTGTAACCAAAATAGCGAATATCCAATCAAGTCGTGTAACCACTGCTATATAGTGAGAGGAGATGCTGGTTACAAATATTGCATGATAGGGCTGTATCTATTATTTATTTATTTATCTGAGAGATGACATGCCAAAAAAAACGACAACCCTTCCCCCTCTCTTAAGGGGCGTTTGATTTGAAACTCGATCGAGCGAGCGTCGAGGAGACCGAGAAGTGATGACGTCACAATAGAGCATTGAATCAAATCAAATAAAACAGAGTAAAAAACATAACCTCGCTTTTTTGTGATTCTTGTTTCTGGTTTGTGTGTCAAAATAGTGAGCAAAAAGTAAAGATAATGGAAAAACTTTTAATAATAAGGAGTAATGGTCCTGAAATGCAGCATATATCACAAATGCCCACTTCGCTTTCATACTTCATCACTGTGATTACTGGTGATTAAATCTGGACAGTGAAAATCTATTTTCTAAACACACATTTTATTTTTTTTATAACGAATAATTTTAGATATAAGACAAAAGCGGCTAAGTAATTTGTTGACTTCTTGTCTGGTCTTTCATTTTGAGATTCAAATTTGTTTGTGGGTTAATTAAAAAGAGATAGGTAGAGACAAA